CTGCTGGAGGAGAGGAGCCGGCAGAAGCCCAAGAGGCGGCCGGCGCTGCTGCCCGCCGGCCCGGGCGCCGCGTGTCTGCGGAAGGCGGGCGGCCGGCCGCCCGGCGTGGCCGCGGAGCGGGAGCAGGAGGGCCTGCGCCTCTGAGCCGACGTGGAGTGTTTATTTAGCCAGAGATTCGCGGTGACTTTTGTAACACAGCGCCCCCCAGTGAAATACACCTCTTACCTCTCCAGCGTGTGGTCCCTGGCGCCGCGGGGCGGGGCGGGGGGGCTGCTCGCACGCGTGCCTTCCAAACCGTTATTTATTTATTCGTGTATCTATCGTCCTGTTGTTACGTTTACGTTATACATTTTTAAATATAATTATTTATTGTGAAATATATATTTTCATTGATTTCAGAGAGGAAGGGCGAGGGAGAGATAGAAACATCCGTGATGAGAGAGAATCACGGACCAGCTGCCTCCTGCAGGCCCCACACCGCGGATGGAGCCAGCAACCGGGGCCTGTGCCCGGACTGGGAATCGAACCGTGACCTCCTGGTTCCTGGGTTGACGATCAGCCGCGGAGCCACGTGGCCAGGCACACCTGTGCCCTTTGGACTCAGACCATCCGTGGACCGGAGCTGCATAAACATCGGGGCCTCCGTCATCCTGCCCCGTCCCCGCTGTCCAGGATCTGGTGGGATCCTTCCCCTGGCGTGGTTTCAGTGACGGTGTCCCCCCACCCCCAGGCCCCCGGAGGTGGCGCCCTGTGGGTGTTCCTGCCGGAGTGACGCCCCCCCATGCGAGGCCTCCTCTCAGCAGCCGGTCTCCCGCCAGCACAAACCCCGTGTCCACACTCCGATGCGGCCCTCGGGAGCCGTCCAGGGGAGAGTTGGCCCTTGCCCAGCAGCCCGTCGGGGCACCTGTTGGCCCGTCCGCTGGGACAGCGGCACCACCGGCTGGCAGGCTGCCCGCGCGCCCGGAGGAGCCGTTACACGGAGCCTCTGAGCAGAGACGCTGCTGGTGCCGGGCGCCGCCCAGAGGCAGGGGGAGGCAGCGCAGCGAGGGCGGGCGGGGAGCTGAGACACGGAGGTGGGGGCTTTCACAGACACACAGTCCCCCTCCCCCCAGCGGTCCATGTCCACGTTCAGGGGTTCCTTACCGCAGCACAGCCGAGCCGCAGACGGCTGCCGACAGGGCCCCGTGGGACGTCTGTGAACACACTTGTCCACAAACCCGCGGGCATCTCCCAGGCGCCATGGTCTCCTGTCTTATTTTACCCAGGCGCTTAGAAACTCCGGTGGATACCGGTTTCATCAGATGTCTTCTTGGCATCTCTGTAACCATACGATGGCATGTTTCTTACAATCTATCCATCGGGAGACTGGGACTACTAGATTTAAACATGTTTCTATTGATTTTAGATGCTTCAGAGAGGAAGGAAGAGAGAGAGAGAGAGAGAGAGAGGGAAATATTGATGTGAGAGAGAAACATTGACTGGTTGCCTCCCACATGCACCCCGACCCGGGATTGAACCCATAGCCTGGGCTGTGCCCTGCCCGGGAAGGGAGCTGCCACCCTTTGGTGTGTGGGGTGGCGCTCTGATGACGGAGCCGGCCGGCCGGGCATGGATGGCTAGGTTTTGGCTGTTGAGCCATCCTTGTACCACGGAGGTCATCTCGCTGGGTTGGCATGGTCTCTGGATTCTGTCTGCTCACGTGCTGAGTGCCTCTGCTTTTTATCTTTTTCCTCAACGAGATTAGGTGGTAGTTTATCTCATGTTTTAATTTTCCCAAAGAAACCACCTATGGCTTTTTATTAGTTTTACTTTTTCTAATTATACTTTAAAAATAATTTTATTGATTTCAGAGAAGAAGGGAGAAGGAGATGGAAACTTCAATGATGAGAGAGAATCGGTGATTGGCTGCTTCCTGCACACCCCACCCTGGGGTTCAAGCTCACAATCTCGGCCTGTGCCCTGACCGGGATTGGAACCGTGACCTCCTGGCTCATAGACGGACGCTCAACCCCTGAGCCACACCAGCCGGGCTAATTTTTACTTTTTATTTTTTCCTTCTACCTCCACCCCCGCCCCCCTGATTTATTTATTTATTGATTCCTTTTGTAACTTTTTAGGGTGGATATTTCCTTTTTCTCTGTTTGTTAACATGTGAATTTAGAGTTATGGATTCCCCCTCAGCACTGAGCTACTTGTATTCCCATAGGGAGTTTCGTCAACTTTCCCCATGAAAAGATTCTTTTAAAACCCTCGTCTCTGGGCCACATCTCAGACCCCCGAACCGAAGTCTCAGGGGAGCGGACACGGCCTTGGGTCTCAGGGAGCGTCCAGCGAGTCCTCGCAGCTCAGGAGCGAGAGGGGGCCTCGGTGGTGTCGCCTGGGTGATCTACACCCCATCTTCCATTTGTCACATTTCCACGGCGGAGAACGGAAATATTCTCTGCTTCCAGTGCATTATACGCGGGGATTTGTCTGCAGTCCTTAGAATTTGAGTTTACTTTGCTACTTCACGTACAAAACGATACTTATACTTTCCACAGCCCCTTTGAAGTGTCTGCTTGAAGTGTTCCATTTGCTGTATGTCAGTTTTATCTACGCTATTAGCCACGTCTGAGGTCTTCTAAATAGTTACTTTCCCCCACTTGCCTTGTCCGGGAATATAAAGACCTCGTTCCCATTCTGTGTACCTATTTTTCTCTCTATCTGCTTCGGGTCTTTATGAAGATATTGATAGATGCAGTTTTTTTTTAACCACTGTAACCAGATTTCCATTTTGCTTAGCCTTTCATTCTGGGAAATGGCTCCTCTCTGCCTGCCTGCTCCCTGGCTCGCTCTCTCCTGTGGGTAAGATGAGCGGCAAGAGGTCTGCGTCCTCCTCCCCCTCCCACCCCGCGCCCACGTGTGCGTGGGAACCATCCTCCGGCTCGTCCTGTCACGTGACCAGTTCATGGGGTGGCAGCTGGCACCCGACCCCCGGCCCCCAGCTCACCATTCCTTAGTTCCTTGTGATGAGCTGTTCCGGAATCCCCTTCTGCACCCACAGGCGAGGGAGAACAGGGACACGGACACAGTTGGGGGCCACTCACAGTGACAGAGACAGAGCTCGGAGCTCACCTGAATACCGTTTATTGCTATAGTGTTCCCAACGATGGCTTCTCCCACAGAGACGGCGGCCGCGGCGCCTGGAGGACCCACGGGGGGTGGATGCACAGGAAGGGCCGGCAGCACCCCAGGCCGCGAGGGCACGCCGGGCCCCGCGGGGACGAGAGAGCCGGGCCGGCCCGGAGCGCTGGCCGCACCCCCCTCCCCCCACGCCCACGGCCTCCCCGCGGCTCCCGGGGCCCAGCTCTGCCCTCCTGTCCTCGCGGACGCCGAGGGGAGCGCGTTTCCTGACTGGATCCGCTTTCCAATCACCGTCCCGCTCCAGTGCCGGTCACCGGCCACGAACTCAGGCCCTCCCACGTCTGTGCAAAGCGAAAAGGACGCATCCCCCGGTCTGGGCCGGACGTGAGCGGCCCTGGGGCTGAGCACTCCCCCTGCCAGGGGGTCGCCCCGAGGCCACAGGGCCGGTTCCGAGGGCGAAGCGAGAACCAGTGCGGTTCGGGGTGTTCGGCCCGGAGGACGGGGCCGCACCCAGAACTAACCCAGAACATCGCCCCCAGGTCCGCGTTCCGGCCACCCCCGCCCGGCGTGGCCGATCACGCCAGTTTCACACGGGCGCCTCCTGGCTTTTCTCACAGGGAACAGGCTCTGAAGGCGGGACCAGAAGCCGCCACAGCTGGCCTCTTCACGGGAGGTGCGTGGAGCGGCCCCGCCTCACGGGCCTTCTTAGCCCGGCACTGGGGGCACTGGGGTCACGGGGGGGCACTGGGACAGGTGGGAAGGGAACAGGGGCCCCGGGAACCGGGGGCAACGCAGCTGAGGCCGGCCCTGCAACGTGGGAAGGAGACGAGGTGGTTGCTGCCACGCCGCCCACAGGCAGCCAGGCTGGGCAGAGGCCACGGCTGAGGTCACACTGGGCGCTGCATGGGCACTGGGAGGCTCCGGGAGGGCAGGCATTAGTGAGCTGGGCCGCTCGGGCTTGGCTGGTGGTTTGGTAGCTGGGAGACAGGACCCCCAAGCCAGCCTGGGCTCCCTGACCCCCCAGGGAGTGATCCAGGAAGATGAGCCTCAGGAGGAGACGGCAGGGCGGGGGTGCGGGGGTGCTGGGGGGTGCCCGTCGGCCTCAGTGGCTCAGATGCTCGGGAACATGGGGGGAGGGGCAGGGAGGCATCGGCAGGAGGCCCAGGCGGGGTGAGCCGGCCTCCCGGGACGGGTGATGACGGGTGTTGCTCTGCACAGCGGGGTCGCTCCTGGAGCGAAGGCTGCGGGGAGCAGGCCCTCTGAGGCTGGGTGAGGAGTTGTGCTCATGGGGCGGAGTGTGTTGCTCCCGTGGCTTCTGTGATGTCGGCCACGTGTGAGCCGGGGCCGTGCACACGGAGGGGGCGGCATTCAGACAACGGGAGACGTTGGGCGTGCTCCTCGCGGTGGCTACACACCCGTGTCCGTGTGCTGTGAGACAGCTTCCAGAAACACCGAGGGACGTGAACAACGGGCCGCTGGGAGGCTGGCCGCACCACGGGACGGACAGCGGCGGTGAGAGCGGGCAGGGAGGGCAGCCGCGGTCCAGGCCCTGGGCCGGCCTCAGCCCCAGAGCTCCGGGCGTGAGGCGTGGCTGCGTGGACACAGAGCTGGCTTTTGTTCCCCTCGGCACGAGGAGGTACGAGGAGGAAGGGGTAGTGCCCGGGGCCCGGCTCCTGGCTCCTGTCCTCCGGTGACGAACGGGAGTTACTGCTAAAGACGCTTTGTGTTTGCACATTAAGGACACCTACCGTGTTTCCCCGAAAATAAGACATCCTCCGAAAATAAGACCTAGCGCATGGAAAGATAAGACATCCCCTGAAAATAAGACCTAGCGCAACTTTGGGAGAAAAAATTAATATAAGACACTGTCTCATTTTCAGGGAAACAGGGTATTGCATCTTGGAAGTCCTGCCCCTTTAACATATCGTGCGGGCAGCAGGGGTGCGAGGCTAGAGCTGCAGGGATGGGGCTGCCGTGACTGCAGCCGTCCGGGGCCCGCGATGACGCGGGGATGGCTTCTCCGACGCAGCCCAGCCCACCCCCTCTTCCTCCCGCAGGAGGACTGGGGCGTCTCCACACACACACACACACACACACACACACACACACACCCTAAAAAGTCTGAGAACTTCTCCGCGTCTGTTTTGGCCTTAACACTGGTCCTGAGTGTAACTGCGGTCACAGCGACCCCGTGTCTGCTCGTGGGCAGTAACGCCGCCTGCCACGGCGCGGTGCTTCCAGGGAGTTAGTCCTGATGTCACGGCTGAGGAGCTGGCGGCATGCGTGTGTGTGTGCATGTGCGTGTGTGTGTGCACGTGTGCGCATGTGTGCCGTGGCCTCACCACCCACGGTCCCGAGTACCCTGTTGCCTAGATACCGAGGGGGGCTCGGGGGAGCTCGCTGAGGCCTCGTTTGCGGGCGGCAGACGGGGTCCTTGGTCCGCTCCGCCTCTGCTTCAGGCACTGACGACGGCTGCCGTGACCCCTGGGCCGTGGTCGGCAAACCGTGGCTCGCGAGCCACGTGCGGCTCTCTGGCCCCTGAGTGCGGCTCTTCCACAGAACACCACGGCCTGGGCGAGTCTGTTTGGAAGAAGTGGCATTAGAAGAAGTTTAAGTTTAAAAACTTGGCTCTCCAAAGAAATGTCGATGGTTGTGCTGGGGATAGTCGGCTCTGTGGGCTGCCGAGTTTGCCGACCGCTGCCCCAGGGGACAGCGCGGACGCGGGATTGTGCCTCGCCTGCCGTCGGACAGTGTCCGCAGGACGTCCTTGTGCAAATGGCTCTGCGGCAGACAGCTGGAGAGGAAGAGGCTGAGGGATGGCTCATGGCAGTGAGGATGAGGACGTCACCCATCTCGCTCTGTGATGCGCAACAGGCAGCTGCAAGTGTTCTTTCTGCAGCTGAGCCCGGACCATAGGACGCCTCCAGAGAACTTTCGAGTAACTTAGGGTTCTTCCTCCGATGGGTGCTAACATGTGATTTCAGACGCTTCAGAGAGGAAGGGGGGGGGGAGAACCCAGCACGGCGAACCCAGCAGGGCGTCTGGGTGCGGTTTTTGCAAGCGTAGGGCTTCCTTCGCCTGATCGTTAAGAAGCTGACCCCTGTGACAGCGGCTGTTTCTGTCTGTGGCAAGCATGTCAAACCCGTGGCCCGCGGGCCGCATGCCTTGTGTCTTTGGCCGGTTCTGTCAACCAGGCGTGGCCGTCCAGGTTCACAAAACTGTGAGGAGCCAGGAGAACGCGGTGATGGGGACACCACGGCGTCCGCATAAATTAATAACTTAGAGTACCTGAGGCAGCACCGAGCATCGGCCGCCGGCCGCAGATCGCATTCTCCGCCTCGAAGCCCAGGCTAGTGCCGAGCTTCCACGGAGCCGAACGGCAGCGCAGACTGTCCCCGGGGCTGTGCGGGGCTCCCCGGGGCTGTGCGGGCTCCCCGGGGCTGGTGCGGGGCTCCCCGGGATTGTGTGGGGCTCCCCGGGGCTGTGCGGGCTCCCTGGGGCTGGTGCGGGGCTCCCCGGTGCTGTGCGGGGCTCCCCGGGATTGTGTGGGGCTCCCCGGTGCTGTGCAGGGCTCCCCGGGATTGTGTGGGGCTCCCTGGGGCTGGTACATGCTCCCCAGGACTGGTGCAGGGACTCCCGGAGCCGATTGGCAGCACAGACTGTCCCCGGGGCTGTGCGGGGCTCCCCGGGGCAGGTACAGGGCTCCCCGGGGCTGTGCGGGCTCCCCGGGGTTGTGTGGGGCTCCCCGGGATTGTGTGGGGCTCCCCGGGGCTGTGCGGGGCTCCCCGGGGCTGGTGCGGGGCTCCCCGGGATTGTGTGGGGCTCCCAGGGGCTGTGCGGGCTCCCCGGGGTTGTGTGGGGCTCCCCGGGGCTGGTGCAGGGCTGGTACGGGGCTCCCCGGGGCTGGTACGGGGCTCCCCGGGGCTGGTGCAGGGGCTCCCGGAGCCGAACGGCAGCGCAGACTGTCCACAGGGCGGTGCCAGCTGCTCACTGGGAGGGCGCGGTGTGGGCGGGCCGGGTCTCGGGGGGTGGGCGCTTGGGAGCCGGTCTGCGTGGAGAGAGGAGGAAGAGGAGGAGGAGGAGGAGCAGGAGGTCACTGGGAGGGTAGGATTAGTCGGTGCCGGCGGGTTGAACACCCCCTCTCGGCTCCTGGTGTGTAACTCCGGACACCCCGAGCGGCTGGCCGTGAGCGAGGCCAGGAAGGCGCCCTGTCCTCGGGAAGGTGCGCGGTGACCCGGCTTCGGGACGTCCCTCAGGTGAGTCCCCAGGGGCTCCCAGAGCCAGGGGGCCACGGCAGCTGGGCTAGCCTCACTCCTCATGGTCCCCTCGCTCACCTGACCCCCGCCCCCGCCCCCCACTCCTCAGGACCCGGGGCGGGAGAGCCCCCGAGGGCTGGGTGCGTGTCCAGCCCTCACAACAGCATGCTCCGGGGGACGTGGCCTGTCTCACCAGCCGTAGCTCAGGTCCAGCCCAGCCTCCTGGGGGCCGGGGCCTGGCCGGGAGCCCCTGGACACACGCTGACTTCACACTCACCCTCCTTCTGGGGTTTTCCCGACTGCCCCTCCCCACCCTGCCTGGGAGGGCAGGGAGCGCGGCCCAGCCCCACCCTCCCGGTCCTGGAAGTCGGGGCTGATGTCCCAGCCCACACAGCGCAGGGGGGGAGGCGGGGAGAAGGCACATCTCACACCAACCTGAGGGGCGCCAGGCGGAGCCCCAGCTCCGGGCCCGGGGCGCGGGCGGGGGCGTGGGCGGGCCGGGCCGTCCTGCTCAGAGGCACTGCGGGCAGGGGCTTCTGCGGGGCGCTGGGCTTCCCGGCCGCCTGCAACGAGCCACACGTCGGATGTGAAGACACTTCAATTGTTTCTTAAAAGCACCCCCGGCCGGCGTGTCAGTGAGAGGAGCAGCCAGAGAGGCAGGAGCGGCCGAGGGGCACCTGGGCTTGGGTTTCGCCACCCTTTTCGGTGCGGGAAGTGGGAGTCCAAGGTCAACCCCGGCCCGGCACCAGGCGACCTTTGGCTTCCCGACCTCTCCCGTGACGCCGGGCTCCGTGAGGCCAGGCCTCAGGCAGGACCGTGCCGACTGCACAGCGCTGTCCACCGGGAGCCGCAGGAGGAGCCTGGTGCCGGCGGAGCCCGGGGGAAAGTCAACCCGAGACCGAAACAGCCCCTGGGGACCAGAGGCCGAACCCACTCCACCTGGCGGCTCCGGAGCCTGGTCCTCGCCTCCTGCTTCAGGCTTCCCTAACCCGCCCCAACGAGGGCACCTGGCCCGGGCATGCCGCGCTGCAGGCTGAGGGTGACTCAGGGGGTCGTGAGAAAAGGGAAGTGGGGTTCCCACTCGTGTCACGCACTGGGGCGAACAGCGCTGGAGCGAGCACCTCAGTGTGAAAAGCCACGAACTCGGAGGAACGGAAACGTCTGCCAGGCTGGGGGCAGGCCTTCCTAAGCACGGCGTGAGCCACGGCGCGGAGACGGAGACGGAAGGAGACGGTCTCCGGCCTGCGACAGGTGCTCCCCGCACGGAAGGGAGTGCGGACACCGCCCTGTGCCCCCGAGCGTGTGGGCGCGGAGAGGAGCGTCTCTGAACACAGAGACGGGGCGGATGAAGACGGGTGGGGGGCACAGAGCAGGGACAGCTCCCTGCAGCGGCCACGGGGTCCTCCTGCCGCCTGAGTGCCTTCTGCTGAAAATCCTCACGCGGAAAGGATGAAGCCCGCAATCAGCGTGCACACCCCCCCACATGCACACACACACATGCACACACCTCCACATGCACACACATGCACACACACATGCACACACCCCCACACGCACATACACACATGCACACACCCCTACATGCACACCCCACATGCACACACCCCCACATGCACACACACGCACACACCTCCACATGCACACACATGCACATACATGCACACCCCACATGCACACACACATGCACACACCCCCACATGTACACACACATGCACCCCCACATGCACACACATGCACACCCCACATGCACACACACATGCACACCCCACATGCACACACACACATGCACACACCCCCACATGCACACACACATGCACACACCCCCACACGCGCACACACACATGCACACACCCCCACATGCACACACACACATGCACACCCCCCACATGCACACACACACATGCACACACACACACACTGCCGTGCCACTGCCGGCTTCCTGAACTTTCTGCACAGACAAGCCGGGACACAGGAGGGCTGGCAGGTTCTCACGGGGATGGGCCCTTCCGGAAGCCACCCCGCTCAGCAGAGCCCACCCCGGCTGTTTCCCTGCTCCCTATTGTTCCACCGAAGGAGCTAATCTGACCGGCTCTCCCGAAGCCAGGGAGCCCGGTCCTGATAAGCCTGCAGGAGGAAACGCCACTTCCTCCCATTCTCCAGGGAACCCTGCAGCCAGGGCCCCGCCCCGCCCCGCCCCGCCCGCGGCCCCCAGCCCCGCGGCCTGAGCGGCGCCGAAGAGCACAGGGCGCTGCGGGGGGAGCGGCACTGCCACGCGGGATTCTGAGTTTCTCTGGAAAGCACGCCCCCCCCCCCCCAGATTGACAGCAATAATTGCATTTCGATCGGCAGCGTCCCAGGCGGCTCCTCAGATGTAATTTTCTCTGAGCAGAGACGCCTGCCTGAGCGTGGGCCTGCCGTGCTTTCAAAGTAAAAAGATGGGAGGAAAAGAAAAAAAGCCAGATCTGCGAACACTCACCCAAAGAAAACAAGTGCGGATACGATGACATGAAATAAAGCAGCTTTTAGCACAAAATGACACCGTCGCCGGGATGGGGGAAAATGGTAACATTTAAGACATCTACACCACAGAGGCAGAACCTAAGAGGCAAAGTTTTCCATTCCACTGGAAGGGCAAAATAGCGGTACTAGGCGACTGTGACAAATTCTGTACAAATACCGGAATCCTGAAAGCGGCCGCTTTCCACCGGCCAGGATTTTGGTACAGAACATACTAGTTGCGGAGCTAAAGAGGAACAATGCATGATGGTTAAAGGGCCAGTGCATGCTCCTGCACGGCGCCCTCCCTGCCCTGGTGACAGCGTCTCCCTCAGGGCACACGTGAGCGCCGCCCCACTGCTGTCCCCGGAACCTGCTTCCAGCCACGGGCCACACAAAACGACCCACGTAAAAACGACCGGCTGTGTTTGGTCAAACGCTTCATAACTCACCCCAGTGCCTGGCAGGGCCGGGCCACGTGATCTCCTGGGGCTTACACGGCCTGCCTCCCTGCGTGACCATCACACTTATCCCACCCCTTCCACCACCCTCCCCGGAGCCCAGAGAGGCACAAAAAGCAAAGCATTTGTCCAAGGTCAGACGCCCAGGCCCCAGACCTGGGCAGCCGTGAGGTCGTGGCGGAGGGCGTACCTGGGCCTGCCTGAGCGCAGGGGTGGCCGGCAGGGGTCTGGCGGGGACGCTGGGCGTGCGGGGCGCCTGGTGCAGGGTCGGGAGCACGCGCTGCGGGGAGGGGGGCCGGGGCCGGTCCGGGGCCTGCAGGGGCCTGCTGATGGCGACGTTCTGAGCCTGTGGCGGCCTCTTGGGATTGTCCTGCGGGGCCAGAGCAACAGCCAGGATACACGTCTCAGGAGTGTGAGTGATTCCCCGCTGGCCGGGGGCTCAGCGGCAGAGCGGGGCTCCCACACCCAGGGTCCCGGGTTTGATTCCGGCCAAGGGCACACACCTGGGTTGCAGGTTCCATCGCTGGTTCCTGGTTAGGGGCAGGTGTGGGAGGCAACCAATCAATTCTTCTTCTCCCCCTCCTCTTCCCTTTCTCTCTCCTCCTCTCTTCCCCCTCCTCCTCCTCCACTCCTCCTCCTCCTTAGCCTCCCTTCCCTCCCTTCCACTCTCTCAAAAAAATCAATGGAAAAACTACCCACAAATGAGGATTAATAAAAAAAGTGTGCCATTCCTCAAGGAATCGCCGAGGGGGAAGAGGGTGGAGTAAGGGACAGAGATCAAGGAGGTACGTGAGAGGGCGTCTTATGATTATTTATTTAGGCTTCAAATTCCAACGGGAGCACCCCTCCCGCCGGTCTGGAGAGAGGGACCCCTTCCAGGTGGGTTTTAAAGGGCCGGCTGACTAACAAACAGGCTCGAGACGCCCGACAAAGTGCCGGCAGGAAGGCCCGGGCCAGACCCAGGGCACGGAAGAAGGACTCAGCTCAGCGCCCGAGGCGGCGAGCAGCCAGGACAGTGCTGGTGTGGGGCTCTGCGCAGTGCACGGTCTCAGCGGTCAACGAGGACGGACGGACAGACGCAGCTCAAGTCTGTGCCTCGGCCCCCTGCCCGCTCCCCCGCCCTCCTCTCTTCCCTTCTTTTTACAAACAGCTTTCCCTACATGCACTTGAACGTGATTAATTGCATATATTTAAAACGTGCAATTTGGTAAAAATTGACATATGTCCACACTCATGCAACCATCACAGAAGCGAGATAATGAACACATCCATCACCCGAGAGACTCCCGCTCCCGCCTCCCGCCTGTGCGCGGACCTGCTTCCTGTCTGTGAGTGAGTCCGCTCCCCCAGCCTTTCCCACAACGGCACCACCGCTCTGTCTGCTCCGGCTCCGTCCCTGGCTCACCGTGTCCAGGCCCGTCACCCTGGGTGTCAGTGGTTCCTCCTCTCCGCCGAGCCCAAGCCCCGTGTGCACCCACCTCTGCTGCTCCCTTCCCCTGCCCCTGCCCCTGCCCCTGCCCCTGCCCCGCCCCTACCCCTGCCCCTGCCCCTGCCCCGCCCCTGCCCCTGCCCCTGCCCCTGCTCCCAGGGCCCGGAGAGCTTCCGTGGGGCACAGCAAGCCCCTCCGGCCCCTGCCACCACCTGCACCGGGACCCGGGGCTCAGAGCCGCCCCTCCCTGCACCGGGACCCGGGGCTCAGAGCCGCCCCTCCCTGCACCGGGACCCGGGGCTCAGAGCCGCCCCTCCCGGCACCACTCACCGTGGCGGAGCTGGAGGGCGCCGGCTTCCTCAGGCCGCCTTTGCTGAGCGGCGCCAGGGGAGCCTGGCCGGGCTGGCAGCCGCCGGGGGGCCGGGCGGGGCGCACGCACCTGCAACACAGGCACCGGCTCGCCAGGGCGCTGCCTCACCCCGGTCACCGGCTCTCAGACAGGGGCTGATGCCCACAGCCCGCTGGGTAACCGTGCCAGTGTAACATCACCCGCACTCTCTCAGATTAACAATCACACTGATTTCCTCCCCCAGAGCCCTCCGAGTCTGGTGAGCCAGTGAGAACCCCCCCTGCTCTGCGGAGAGGGCGGCCTGGCGCCCCTGATGGCCCTCTGGGGAGACCCCCGCCCCCGGACCTGAGCTTCTCCAGGGTCTTCTGGTCTGTGAACAGCAGCCGGACCAGCGTCTTCCTTTTGAGATACACGGCGAGCCCGGCGGCGAGCAGGCTCAGGACGCTGGCCAGCACGCCGGCGGCGAGGCCGCGGTGACCTGGAACGACACCGCCATCAGGCGCGGGCGGCGGGCGCAGGGACACACCGGACCTGACAGCGACAGCCGGGGGCCCGGGGGAGGAACGGGAGGAGCGCCGCCGAGGGAGCTCAGAGGCCGGGGCGAGGTTCGGGCTGCGCTGTCACTCACTGCCCACCGCGCGCGGGGCCCTGGCAGGAGGGCGGCGGGAGGCCCCTCTGAGGTCCCGGGTCCCCAACTAAACCCTGTCCAGCCCCCTCGCACCCGGGCTCCTGCCTCCTCTCACTCGCTTTATTCCCGTGTTTGTTCAGAGTGAGACGCCTGAGCCTGGAGCGTCACATTGACGACGGGGAGAAACAAGGGGAGGGAGACCTCAGCTGACCGCCGTGCCCACCCACGGGTGCAGTGGTGGCATCAGGGACGTAGGGTCAGCTCCGGGCAAACCCTTTCTCTGGGAGGAGGCGGTTTATGGTCTCCATGGGAACGCCCCTCCTGTGAGCTGACCCATGTGGCACGGAGACCCCATGTGACCCCGGGGCCCGGGGCGGAGCAGCTTTAGCTGCACTGAGCTCCCTGGGAGCCACTGGGTGCTCCCGGAGACCGTGAGGGGGCTTCCCACAGTAGGTGTGCGGGGGCTGCACACAGTGGGTGCGTGGCCGCCCTTTCCGGCTTCGGCCAGGTGCTTGCTGGCTGCAGCCCCGAGGCAGGGCTCCCACCACGGGGGAGGGAACCCCTCGCCCCCTCGCTGCCTCTGGACTTGGTCTCGGCCGACGCGTCCTATCAGGCCGTCTGGGCCCGAGGCCGCCGACTCATTTGTCAGTGTCACCGAACCTCCGCTCTGGCCGCCGGCCGAGCCGCCCTCCGTGGCCGGCCTCAGAGGCGGACAGGACGGGAGGGCAGCCCGCGCCCGTGGCCGTGGCGCCTGCACGTGCAGCTGCTCCGCGGAGAAGCGGCTGCCCTTCCCCGCGGGGTCTCCGAGGGCGTTAAGCGCCCTCCCGGCCGGGGCCCGGGCTGGCCTTCAGCGTCCGCCGGAGAGTGACCTCCGCTGAGAAAAGCGGTGCCCCCCTGCGGCCCCCCAAAGCAGCGAGGGCCTCCGGAGGGACTGGTGAGGACCTTGGAGAATTTGGGAACAGAGAGGCCTCCGGCCGTGCCAGGTGCTCGCGGGGTCCCCACTGGGGTTCCCGCTCCCGGGGGTCTCCCTGCCCGTCCCCTGCCCCGCCCCCCTCCCCCCCCCCGTCGCCGTCCCCGCCCACCTGCTTGCCGGACGGGGCCGCTGTCCGTGCTGCCTCCGAAGCCGGACCTGTCGCAGAAGGGGGGCGCCCAGTGGGCCTCGCAGTGGCAGTTCTTCCTGTTGTTACACACCTGCGGGCCGCGGGGGGTGGGGGGGGCGGACAGGGAGGGAGGAGCAGAGTTAGGGCGCAGCGTCCCAGGGGCAGAGGCGTCCCTGAGCCCTCACCGGGTGCCACGGCCAAGCAAAGCCTGAGCTCTGGCCCCTGGAGCCGGATCGGCGAATGCCGTCCGCTCAGCACCACCGGGGCCGGGCCCGCGGCTACACGTGGCCATGACCCGCCGGCCACAGCGGTCAGAGGGCCACGGAGGCGGCAGGGCCCCTCCTCTGCCCCAGGCCCTTTTCCTTTTCGATTAAAACATGTTGTATTTTTTTTGTGGATTCAGAGAGAAGAAGGGAGAGGGAGAGGGAAACGTCGATGAGAAACATCGACCGGCGGCCTCCTGCAGGGCCCCTGTGGGGACTGAGCCCGCACCCGGGCACTGCCCAGCGGCAGCGGCACCCCCAGGGGCGGTGGCACTGCGCCCCCTGTGGTCACAGCTCAACAGTAACCCAGGCAAACCCCTCCCTGATACAATCCCTGGCGGGTGTCTGCGAGTTTTACCAACGGGATTCAGAGCGTGACTCCTGCGGAAGAGGCTCAGAAAAACCCACGGAGCCCTGGCACATCGGGACGGATGCGGTTCCACTGGAGACGATGAAATCGCTCCGGAGAAATAAATCACGTTTTAAACAATCAGTGTCCCCTTTCCCTGGAGACTCTCTGGACCAAACTAACGGGCTGTTCCGTCGAACCCGCCGCTGGGACTTGGGGACCGCGTGGCGGGTTCTGTCCCCTCTGAGTGAATGCCTTCCGGAGGGGTGTCCGCCACGACACCCATGTGAGTCTCTGCTGTTAAAGGAACGGCTGTTTGGAATGTGGGAGCCTCTTCAGGAAGGATGGTTAGGGGTACGACTGCTTTAAGACGACAAAGTCTTTTGTGTAAAAAAAAAAAATCACAGAATGTTCATTTGAAAGTGAATGATGGCTCTGTTGGATTTTTTGTAAAATAAGAATCCCATTTGTACAAAAGGGTCAAAGAAAATGGATGTCTTTAGAAGAAAGCATTGAGAAGAGACTGCTATGTTTCTAAGAAGTTACGGGCAGCCGGCTGGTGAGAGTCAGTGTTTGAGCATCAACCTATGAACCAGGAGGCCAGGGTTCCATTCCCGGTGAGGGCACAGGCCCTGGTTGCAGGTCCGACCCCCAGTACAGGGCGTGCAGGAGGAGCCGGTCCATGATTCTCTCTGATCATGGATGTCTCCTCCCTCTCCCTCTCCCTCCCTCTCTGAAATCAATAGAAATATATTCTATAAGAAGTGACGGGTTGCAAACACCTTGGCAAATGAAGGAGTGGGTGCTTAGGGCGGATGGCGGGCTGGGCAGGGGCCGTGGACTCACCCCTCTGCCATGGCACTGCCTCGCACACTCGTGGACACCGAACACGCTGATGTTCTGACACCGGCGATTGAGGCAAATCTACGGAGCAAACAGAGCAGGAGTCTCAGTCCCTCACCGGCCCATGCCACACGGGTCCGGGGCGTCCAACCGGAAAGCAAGGGGGCGTCTGGGGAAGCCGATCTGGCCGTGAACATGGATGCGGGCTTCACGTGACACAGACACGGGTCCCCATGCTCGTGGTCTCCACACTCAGCACAGGCCAGGACCCAGGTCCACAGGGACCCTTGTGTCCCTTCCCACGTCGGTGGCATTTTATGTGGTTTCGGCCAGTCCTGCGTGGACGCTCACCGGTTTCCTCGTGGCTTTGTGAGTGCTTGCCGCCACACCTGCATGCTGGGCGTTTGCTTTTTCTCCATTAAAAGGCACGAGAGAGAGAGAGACACGCGGTGAGTCCCTGCCCTGGGGCCCGGTGGACTCAGAGGCAGGAGTACAGGGTCCGGGTCCTCTAAGGGGGACAGCGAACACCGGGCGCTGTCCCACACGCTGACTGACGGGCACTATCGCCGAGGACAGGAACCACGCCAGACGTGCTCAGCGGGGGCCAGGCGGCCGGGCCTCCTGCTTCCCGGGCCCTGGCCGGGGGGCGGCCTGCGCGGAGGGACCTGGCCGGTCCAAAGAGCTGTGCTCCCTCTCAAAGGGCGGACACACTCCGGACTCCGGGGTCAGCCCCGGGGCTCCCACAGCTGCCCCGGCGCAGCGGAGTCCCAGGGAGGGCGTCTGGCTCTCGGGTGGCGGCGCACTTTGTAATCACGGGGACCTTCCTGAGGGACATGCTGGGTCTGACCCCAGTGGCGTGCAAGGCGCGGTTCGCTCGGCTCAGCTCCGAGGCTGGCGGTGACCGTGGCCGCGGGGACTGTCCCGTCACAGCTGACGAAGGACGGAACCTTCAGGAGCCCGTGTTCATCTGCTCCGCTCTCCTCTGAGCCCACGGCCAGGCTGCGAGGGGCCCTGCCTGCAGAGACGGAGCCACGCCCGCCGGCCGCTGCCCGTGGAGGAAAACTCATTGCAAACCCGGTGCCCGCCTCGGTGCTCAGGCGCCATCCGGCGCCAGGGCCCGGGGGTGCACAAGCCAGCCGTGGCGAAGGAGGCCCCCGTGTGTCTGCCGGGTCCCTGCATCATGCTGGTCCGGGGACGCGCTGGCTCAGGGGCAGGAGGGAGGGGCTGATGGAGGGAATGTCTGCCCACGGAGTCCTGTCTACCCCGTGACCACCGAGGGAGTGCTTCACAGCGTTTTTAAAACGGGTCCTCAGTAAGCACGTGGGGTTGGCTCATCTTCGTCCCTAGAACATGTCTCTGAAAATACACCTGCCTTCCGCTTCCACGTCCAGGTGAGAACAAGCCCCCGAGGTCCCTATGCCAGGAACCAAGGCCACTTCCCAAAACAACACCAACTGCTGCCGCATTTCTCTCCAGAGCAACTTCCGGCTGGAACCTCCGGGACTCCCAGGTGGGAAGTGACCTGGTAACACTGAAGGGGCCAGAGCAGGAGCTGGCTTCCCCAGACCAAATCCCGTGGCCAGCCGGGACCAGCAATACTGACGTCCTCCTCCGGGGGCCAGGACTGGGTGCTGAGGCTAGGTCCCGAGCGGGCGGGGCTGGGGAAGCACAGGCCCTGAGCCTCAGTCCCGCAGACAGCGTTTCCCAGGCCCGGGCGCCCGGGCCCCGTGCTCGGGGTCTTACCTTCCCGTCCGCGCACTTGGTGCCGGCCAGCACCAGCCCCGGGTCCGGCATGTCGTCGCCCAGATACACGTGGGTCCCGCGGCACAGGATCCGGCCGCCTTCCTGCAGGGGGATGTTGGTCTCTATGGAAACCGCGTTGGTGCCGATGACCGGCCGGCTGGCGCCTCCTTGGCACTGGATCTTCCCGCACTTGGCGTCTCTGGGAGGGAGGGCGGCACAGACAGGCCCCGAGGGCGTTGGGAGGCGCCGGGGCCGGGCCGGGCTGGGCGCCGGCGGGGTCGGGGGTTCCATACCTGGTCTCGCACTTGGCGAAGGAGCTCTTGGCGTCTTTGCCGCAGTTGCCGTAGGGGTCACCAGCCGAGTTGACCCTCTCAAAGCAGATCCCGGGGGCGGGCTTGGCGCCTGAGGGCATGCGGAACTCGGTCAGGCCCGCACTGGCCCGCAGTTCCCGGGACCTCTGGGCTCTCACGTTCGGGGGAAGGGCCCCTCTGGAGGACTCGCCCCGGGGTCCGGCTGACCCCTGACCAGCCGGCACCCCGGCCGCTCCTGGCCAAGCACACATTTCCCAGCTCAGGACTGAGGCCTGGCCGTCAGGAGGGCCAGGCATCTGCTTTGAATCTTTTTATCATTTAATTGTTGGGAGACTTGGAAGCAGGGCTATTTCGTGAAATATCACGGACTCAGACGAGCCCACTTCCAAAGGGCATGGTGCGTGGGGGCGGCAGCCGGCCGGCCGGTAAGGCCATCTGGGTGGAGCCGCAGGGCCGGGGAGCCAGGACCTTGGCCAGGTCCCGTGGGAGGGCGGGGGTGCGGGGTTTGCGGGGCAGGAACCGGGGACGCCCGGCGCTCCGAGCATTGGGGACGGACGGGAAAGGAGATGCTGCCCCGCCCGGCAGTGAGGCTTCCTTTTCTGGATCCTGAAAGCAGATGTGAGCTGCCCCCTGGAACAGCGTGACGGCTCTCAGCCCGAGCCCTGGCCTGGCCTGGCCTGGCCTGCGGGGAAGGCCCCCGCCCGGAGCCCAAGGGCCTGGGGAAGCGTGTCCCTCGCAGCATCGGCTGAGCCAGCACCTGACGTGAGCGGATGGCGAGGAGCAGCTGACACACGAGAGACAGGGTGCTGGACACGGGCCTCTGCTCCCAGCACCGGTCCCCGCTCCCGGCAAGCAGAGCCGCTGCCCTTGCCTGCGGGGCACGGCTCCGAGGGCGGGAAACGGCCTTCCCATCGCCTGGCCCATGACGACTCGGGACACCTCGTCTCTGACGCCGGCCTGGTTGACTGCACTGCCCTCCCAGCCGGGCCTGTCTCTTTCATGCACCCCCTGATACCCTGTATCAGTGCCTCCTGCAGCCCAGGACTCGGGGTCTTGCTCCCTCGCTGGTGAGCAAACACAGTCACACCTGAGGTGCAGTCTGAATGCACCAGCACCCGGTGTGCACCCAGTACGTGAGCACGTGTGACGTGTTACCCAGGACAGATGCCACGTCAGGGCAGCACGCCCCGCGGCAAGCAGAGAGCTCCCGTTTCACAGACGAGGCGAGATGCGGCGGAGAGATCTGCCCAGGTCACCGACCAGCAAGTGGCGGCAGAAGACAGACCCCACAGGCCCCGTCCTGATTTCAGAACCTCACATGCAGAGGGGACCCTGAGACGTTTCAGAAGCTGAGCAGCAATGTCCGGTCTACGTGCAGGACACCCTGGGCCCGTGGTCCGCAAACTGCGGCTCTGGAGCCACATGCAGCTCTTTGGCCCCTTAAGTGTGGCTCTTCCACAAAACACCACGGCCTGGGCGAGTCTATTTTGAAGAAGTGACGTTAGAAGAAGTTTAAGTTGAAAAAATTTGGCTCTCCAAAGAAATGTCAATCGTGCTGTTCCTATTTGGCTCTGTTGGCTAATGCGTTTGCCGACCACGGGTGTAGGCACCCCCCCCCCCCCCCCGCCCAGGCGGAGGCCCCCGGCTGCAGGCGGGAGCGGGGAGCAGCCAGGAGCCGGGCGGGAGGTGCAGCCCCAGGCAGCCCGGCCTCTGGCCTCTCCCCTGACCACAGGGACACAGAGTTCAGCGCAGGTCACGTCCTGTGGTGCTGGCTTGTGGGAAGGCCAGTCCGTGAGTCAGAGGCTGGTGTGTCCGCCTGTCTGGCTCCCTCTCTCTGGTCAGGCAGCCTGAGAGGGGCTGAAGCGGTGAGATAATGGCCACCGGGCTTGGGCACCATGAGTCAAGGCCTCGCCAGCTGAGTCACAGTGCGGCAGAGGCTCCGAGCACGCTGCGGGCGCCATCGGCCCTCCCCTTGGCCCCGGGGCCGGATGCCCCAATACCACAGGCACCGAGCGCTCCTCCCCCTGGGAAGGCGCCAGGGCCGGCTCCGGCCGCCGATGCTCCCGGGCGGAGCGCTGACACACCCTGTAACTGAAGCACCGGAGGGACCGCGGCTGCGGAAGGGCCGGCGGCCGGCCACGAGGACGCTGTGGCCATGGAGACTTGGCCGGCAGCGGTGGCCACTGACCCCAGGCGACCTCACTGGCTACCGGGCGTCTGAAGTCACCAGTCCATTCAGAGCCCGTACAGCCATCTGGCCTGTATAGCGAGTGCCTACCTTATGCTTGTCATCGCAAACAATTCCCTGAGCGGGGGCCTGGCCAGCGTGGCTCAGCGGCTGAGCATTAACCTCCGGACCAGGAGGTCACAGTTCCATTCCAGGTCAGAGCACAGGCCCGGGTTGCGGGCTCTGTCCCCAGTGTGGGGTATGCAAGAGGCACCCGATCAATGATTCTCTCTCATGGATGTTTCTCTCTCTCTCCCTCTTCCTTGCTCTCAGAAATCAATTTTAAAAAAGAAAGAAAAAATATACTAGAGCCCAGTGCATGAGTTCATGCACGGGTAGTCTGGCCAGTGGGGCCAGCCAGGGGGAGGGGCTGTGGGTGGTTGGCCGGCCGGCCCCGCTCCCTGGTCGAACTCCTGGTCGAGGGGACAATTTGCACATTTGCCTTTTATTATACAAAGGTAAAAAGGAATTCACCAAGCCTGAGGCCCCAGACCTCACCGCTGCCTGGGGGACCTCCCAGCCCAGCAGCAGGGAGCTGGGAGGGGGGTTGGGGCCTGGCCGGTCTGTAGATGGAGCACCACGGGCCCCTCTCCTCCTGCCCCAGTGCCCCTAGACGCCGAGGCTCATTGGAAGAGCCGAGCGTGAGCCGAGGCCTGGTCAGCGGTCCTGCTGCACCCACACGGCCTGGCTCCTCCCAGGAAGTGCCCAGTGCGGAGGGCAGGCTGGGCTGGGAGGGGGCTCCGTGCCAGGACCCAGCCAGGGTGCCCCTGTCCTTGTTCTCCCTGCTCCCCCAGCCTGTCTGAGGGAGGGGCCACGGCTGATCCGTCCCTGGCACCCACGGGCACACAGTCGGTGCTCACACATCTCTGACTGGATGGCTCTGATGTGCCCGTGCCCGGCAGGCCCAGCCCCACCAGGGGGCCAGTTTCTCCCGCGCACAGTGGGCCCCCATGCCCCGACCGGAGACGTCGCCTACCTGCCCCCCAGAGCGTGACGCACTGCTGCTCGTGGGTCTGGCAGACGCCGTTGTAGCAGTAGCCGTCCAGGCCGTGGCACGGGTGTCCGTCGTGGAGGTACACGTTGGCCGGGCAGTGTGGGCCGGCCCCCGAGCAGAACTCCGGGAGGTCGCAGGCGTGGCTGGCGCCCCTGCAGGCCGTGCCCGCCGGCTTCAGCTGGAGGAGAGGGCGGTGAGCACGGCTCTGCCAGAGGGGCGGGTGCCCGCAGCCCCCTCAATGGACCGAGGCCGTTCTCCGTGTCACCTAAGCTGTAAAGCCAGGCCCTCTCGGCAGAGGGCGTCCCTGAGTGACACTCCAGCTCGGGGGCCAGGGCTGTCCCCTGTGAGGGGTCCAGAGCAGCCTTGTGGGCATTGGCAGCAGTAGGGGTGTCTCCGGGCAGACAGACGGGCCGGCGGGGGCGTGGCCGGAGGACTCGCTGACTCTTAGGAGGGAGAGCTGCGGCCCCTGCCCTCTCTGAGGGGTCTCGGCCGGCAGCGCTGGCATTTGCCGGCAAGCTGACAAAACTAGTCCCACGGGCACCAAAGCCACGGCTACTTCACGCCACCCCACCGCGGCGGGGCCTGTCTGCGGGCGTTGGGGGGTGAGGTGCGAGGAACAAGGCGGGCAGGGGGGCAGCAGGAGCTCCGGCCTCGCCTCCTCCCCGTGGCTGAGACGCTCAGGCCCCGGGGCTTGTCTGAGGCTGCAAGGCCAGGGCCCTCCCGCCTCACCCCCTTCAGAGCAGCTCCGGCCGCCAGCTGCCCCGGGCGGGCCGGGCCGCTGTGCTCGCGGCCTTGTCAGTGACCGCGGGCGGGAGGGGAGAGGGCGCCAGAAACAGAACTGCATTGCAATGAGCTCCGGACTCAGGAGGCTCCGCAGCAGAATGCCCAGATCAACGGCTTCATTAAAAAATGAAAGGCTGGCGTGGCTGGCCTGGCTCAGTGGGTGAGCGTCGACCTAGGAGCCAGGAGGTCACGGTTCAATTCCTGGTCAGGGCTCAGGCCGGGGGTGTGGGCTCCATCCTCTGTAGCGGGCGTGCAGGAGGCAGCCGATCCATGACTCTCTCTCATCACTGATGTTTCTCTCTCCCTCTCCCTCTCCCTTCTTCTCTGACATCCATTAAAAACAAAACCTGCCACCCGTGCATGCTGTGGAGCTGCCCGCAGCGGCGTGGGGGGAGGAGGGGGAGGACGGGCAGGACTCACCTGGCAGTGCTCGCAGCACAGCCCGTGTGCGCAGACGGCGCCCGGCGTCAGGGTGCAGGTGGAGGCGTTGCAGCAGTGGTTGGTGCATTCCTGCGAGGACAGGGTGTTGGACGGGGCCGTTGGACGGGGCGGGGAATGACCCCTGTGGGTGGCCTGTGCATCGTGAGCAACTCCCACCCGACGGGAGAGAGACACGTCGATTGGTTGCCTCCTGAGGCCCAGGATCAAGCCTGCAACCGAGGTACGTAGCCTTGACCAGAATCGAACCTGGGACCCTTCAGTCCAAGGGCGGATGCTCCAACCCCTGAGCCACGCCCAGCCTGGGGCAGGTTCTTACCCTTTTAAGCCAGTGGTGTAACATGTCCCATGTGACTGTACGAAGGCCACGGGCTTGCCAGGCGTGTCCGAGGGGGCGGTGAGGGCGTGGCCAGCCCCCGTCCAGCCTCTCACTGGGCAGCGCGGTCCCTCCCGGCCCTCCTCGCGCCCGAACACCGCCGCGCCCGGAGGCGCTCACCTCGGGCTCCCCACAGTCGCACTCCTCGCCGTCCTCCACGTAGCCGTCCCCGCACCTGCGGCCCCTGAAGGCCGGCCGCACCTCGGGCAGGTTGAAGAGGCACATCCCCACGCCCTTCTGCAGGCTGGCCTCCAGGTCCTGGCGGCTGCAGCTGCTGAACACCGCGGGGAACGGGAGCCTGCGGGAGGGGCGGGTCAGCGGGCAGTGCCACGGCCACCCCTGCAGGCGGCCACTCCTGTCCCCGCCCGACACCTGCCCGGGGCCCACGGCAGTCTCAGTGAGCAAAGGCGAGGCATGCGTGTGACACCGGGCACCTGTGGCTGCATTCCTCTCTCTCTCTCTCTCTCTCTCTCTCTCTCTCTCTCTCTCTCTTTAAAAATACATTTTTACTGATGTCAGAGAGGAAGGGAGAGGGAGAGAGAGAAACAGCCATGGTGAGAGAAAATCATGGATCGGCGGCCTCTGGCACATCCTCCACTGGGGATTGAGCCTGCAACGCGGGCATGAGCCCTGACTTGGAGTTGAACGCTGACCCCCGGGTTCATAGGTCGACGATCAACCCCTGAGCCACACGGCCGCTCCTCTCACTCCCTGTTCACATGGATCCCCCAGGTCCTGAGCAGCAGGAACTGTAGGGGCGGGTGTGCCCCGACCCCCGAGGTCGGCCTACTCAGTGTGAGAGGGGGGCCCGCCGACCCACCACGGGCGCCCACTGCCCCCGAGGCTGCCGCACAGCATTGCAATGGATCCCAATCCACTGGCCCCACGGGCACACGCCCATTTCCCGCCGCCGCGGACTCGCCGCTGTCTCCCGACGGAGCCTGGCATCTGGTCACGACCACGCCGAGCGGGGACACGGCGCTGCCCGCGGTTTTCTGTCCGCCGCGGCTGGTCAGCTCCGGAGCCTCAACCCCATGGACCAACTCGCCCGCGAGCGCAGCCCCGCTAAGGGGCTGGGCTGGGGTCCGAGTGTGACCACTGAGGTTTCTGTCTGAACAAGACCCTCCTCTGCCTCCACTCCACCGTGCGGCCTCTGCCCTCCTCTGGCGCCTCCTGCTCCTCTCGTAACGTCCGCTCTGTCCCCTGGGTGTGAGAAGGACGCGAACCAGGCCTCGGATCTCTGCACAGGAAAAGCCACGGTCGTGGGACACCGGGCCGGATGGGAAGCCGTCCGGATTTCCTCTTTCAGACCCGTTAGGAAACAGAAGAAAACCTCGCATCTTCCACGGCGGATATGTGATTAGAGGTGGGAGATACGTGGCTTGGGGAAACAGCTTGCTGACATGCTGCTTCCCGCTGATCTTCTGCAGACGGAAACCGAGTTTTTCCTTCTCCGGACAGACGCAGGAGGACTCAGCCGCCCCAGAGGGTGGAGCGGGTGTGTGTGTGTGTGTGTGTGTGTGTGTGTGTGCCTCTTCTGGACCTGACCATGGCACGAAGGAGGTGGAGAAGAATCAAAACCGAAGACCAAGTCTGAGCACCCTGTCTATGAAGACTAGAGATCTGCTCTAAAGCCCAGCCTCAGTTTCACACCTGCAGAACGGGGTAATCACCACCACCTCACATGGGGAGGATGAGGACTGATGAGCTTCATGCAGAAATGTGACAGACTCGGCCCTCAACCTTTCTCACTTTCTCTTTGCTTTCCTATGGATACTGTTGTATGTACTCTCGCAAGCTACTCTCGTAAATCCACCGCAGGCTCACGCAGGGTATACAGCAATGAAAATGACAACGGCACAGCTGGTGCTAGAGGCAATATAAAAGACAGCAAGAGCTCCGAATCTTTCCCCCAGAGCTTCAGCCATTACTCCTCAGATGTCTGATTGTGCTGTAATCACTATTTATCCATCTATCCACCATCATCTAATCATCTATTATCAATCCATACAATCATCCACCCACCCACCCACCTACCCATCCACCCATCCACCCACCCACCTACCCATCCATCCATCCACCCACCCATCTACCCGTCCACCCATCCATCCACCAACCCATCCATCCACCCACTCACCCATCTACCCATTCGCCCATCCATCACCTACCCACCCACACACCCACTCATCCACCCACCCATCTACCCATCCATCCACTCCACCCATCCACTCACCCACCTACCCATCCATCCATCCATCCGTCCATCCACTCATCTACCCGTCTATCCATGCATCCACCCACTGACCCATTTACCCATTCACCCATCCATCATCCACCTACCCACCCACCCACCCCATCTATCCTCCTCCCTCACTCCCCCTGCCCCTTCCATTTGTTTATCCATCCTTTTATCCTTTCGGTTAAGAAGTGTTTCTACTGTGTACCAGGCACCCCTAGGAGCTGGGGATTCAGCAAGGAACAAGACAGACAAAATTCCCGACCTTGTGGAGCTGAGAGCGGGTTCTTCTGGGTGTTGTTGGCATCCAGGGAGGCCCATAACCTAACCTTGACCTCACCACAGTCTGTGGGCCACGTGTCCTCGGGAGAGGCAGTGGCCATGAGTGTGGGGAGGGGAAGGTTGGCTTTCACACATGTTCTACCACGAATAAGATGCTGGGTGAGTGAGCAGCGGCAGAGGAGTTCTGCTGCGGTAACATGCATGTTCACACATGTTCTACCACGAATAAGATGCTGGGTGAGTGAGCAGCGGCAGAGGAGTTCTGCTGCGGTAACATTCATTGACAAGAACCAACGACTTAAACACGGGCCGTCTTCCTGCTTCCTCAAAGCTGCACAGGGACGCCGCTCTGCACTGAGGCTGTCCACAAGGAAGCCCAACCATGGCACCACACGTGTGGCCACTTCCATGTGGCAAACACAGCAGGAGGCTGGATTGCACCGTTGCCCAGTCTCATGCTCAGCTCGGCTGCACAGAGGGAGCGGCTGCACGGAGGGAGCTCAGCTGCACGGAGGGAGCGGCTGCACAGAACAGAGGGAGCGGCTGCACGGAGGGAGCGGCTGCACAGAACAGAGGGAGCGGCTGCACGGAGGGAGCGGCTGCACAGAACAGAGGGAGCGGCTGCACGGAGGGAGCCGCTGCACGGAGGGAGCTCGGCTGCACGGAGGGAGCAGCTGCACGGAGGGAGCGGCTGCACGGAGGGAGCCGCTGCACGAAGGGAGCCGCTGCACGGAGGGAGCCGCTGCACGGAGGGAGCGGCTGCACGGAGGGAGCCGCTGCACGGAGCATTGGAGAGGCTGTGCCTTTTCATTCCAGATGAGGAGCAGGAAGGCGAGAGGCAGGGAGTGCGGCTCCCGGCAGCTCGGCCTCCGTCCGCGGACATTCCCTCAGGCCGGGGGCCTTCTGCCGGCAATGGCGGCTGAGGAGCGTGCTCTGAGTCCGGTGCTGGAAGTCTCGACAGAGAAGAACAAGGTCTGTGGGGATGCGCCTCCCGGGAGAGCGGCTGTGGTCCTTGGTTCTTTGTGAACCGGAGACAGTTCATACGTTAGCGCGGTCACCGACGCCGCTGCCTGGGAGTCCCCTTCAGGGAACACGTGAGTCACACGTGGACGGTGGCCGCCGTGCCTGAGTCAGCGAGGGGAGCCGGGGAAGGCTGCTGCTGGACGGGGCCCGGGTATGTCTTTGTTGTTGTTGATCCTCACCTGAGGACAGGCTTCACTGACTTCCAGAGAGAGCGGACGGGAGAGACTGAGACACATCGATGGTCTGAGAGAGACACTTGGATGGGTTGTCTCCTGCACACACCCCGAGCAGGGTGCGTGCCCTTGACTGGAATTGAACCCAGGACCCTTCAGTCCGCAGCCAGTGCTCTAACCACTGAGCCAAACCAGCCAGGGCTGGACCAGTTTAAAGCAGCTGTTCACACATAAACTGGGGCACGGTGCCGAGTGACCCTTCCGGCAAGCCCTTCACCCCGCAGCCCCACGCCCTGCACCCCGACACTCATCCTCACCGCCCCCTCCCCTGTGCACTGTGGAGCGATTGGTCCCTTACAGACACACGGCCTCATTTCCTCCACTCCCGGCTCCCGTGGGGACCCCGTGAGGTGAGGGGCGCGGGCTGAGACAGTGCTGGACGAAAAGCAGCCGGAAGCCGGCGGTGAGGGATGGGCTGAGGGATGGGCCGAGGCGCCGGGCCGGCGGCCTGCCCTCCCTGCCCGCGGCTTTTGGGATTAATCACCCACACGCTCAGGAAGTTCCTCTCCACAGGAGCCAATTAAAAACCTCCCCCCTCAGCGGAGTGCGGGTCATAAAGGAGAGCCCAGTGGACGAGATTTAGTGAAAGCACCAGCTCAGCCAGAGAGGAAGCTTGGAAATCGCTAATAAGGTGTAAGTCAGGGGCTATCGGCGGCCCGCAGGAGAAAGCGCCCTCGGTGACCTGCCGGGCCCGGGGCGAGCCCAGCCCCCCGCTTCTGTCCCCGGGGCATGCGGCCACGCCCAAGCACTGCCCCCCACAGCACCCGGCCAGGCCCCTGCAGCCCCCCTGCTCCCGGCCAGCTCCCCACACCCCTGACTCCCAACCTCGGGCTGAGAGCGAGGCTGCAATCAGCCGGTCGAGTCTGGTTGCCTGTGACTCTCGGGGCAGCACACTCTTGCACCTCCGGAAGGGATTTCCTTCTGGAAGCTTCCCTGGGTGCTCTGGCCAGGAACCCAGGGAGCTTCCTGCTCACTGTTTCCCAACACGCCTGCCAAGCTGTGGCCCGGCCCCGGAGGCGCGAGTACTTGCCCGGTGGAGGGGTTCATGATGCAGCCGCCCTTGCCGGGGGCCGTCCGGCAGCTGCAGCCGCGCTCCTGCGTGTCGTGGTTCATCCCGAAGTTGTGGCCCAGCTCGTGGGCCAGCGTCACGGCCGCGCCCAGCGGGCTGTCCGAGTGGTCCTCCGAGAGAGCACAGGGCAGACTGCAGCCCCCGCCGCCAGCATCTGACCCCCATCACCCCTCCACACCCCCCCTCCTCCACACGAGCCTGGCCAGCTGGCTCTGAGGTTCCCACTGCAGTCTACATGTTCGTTCCCACTTCCCACATCATTCCCATCTTTTTTTTTTTTTTAAGTTAGTGCTTTTACAGGAGGAATCGTTTTAAATGTTTTTCTTGGTTTCAGAGCGAGGAAGGGAGAGTGAAAGAGAGAGATAGCAAACATCAAGGATGAGAGAGAATCATGGATCAGCTGCCTCCTGCACGCCACCTACTGGGGGATCGAGCCCGCAGCCCGGGCCTGTGCCCTGACCGGGAATGGAACCCTGACCTCCGCTTCATGGGCCGACGCTCAGTCCGGAGCCACGCCGGTGGGGAGGAACCGGGATAAATGCTTGTGTGGAGACAGAATAAGGGATACGCGCTCCAGGAAGCCACTGAACCTGACCAGGTTGTTATAAAACGTTTAAGCACCGCGCGCCGGCGACAGAACCTGCTGGGCTTGTGCGGAACCGAGTTTCGGCTCTAAAAACACAGACACCGAGCTGGAGGGCGAAGTCAGCTGGCCACCGGCGTGGAGCCAGGAAACAGAAGAGGATTCCCCTTACAACTTTACGGCGACTCTGGGACCACAGTGGGGCTGGGACTCCAATGGCCAGGCCCCTCCCTCAGCCCCGCTCCCCGCGGCTCCCCACGGCGGCCTCAGGCTCAAGAAAAGCCAGCGGGAGCCGGTCAAGCCAGGAAGCCGACGAGGGGTGCCACCCACCAAACAGCCACCCGCCTCACCCCCTCCTCCCAGGCTCACGGTTCCCTGAACCCCGGCGCGGCCGGGGGAAGAGGCACTGCCCTGTGGTGCCCGCGGAGAGACGGGCGGGCAGCGAGGAAGTGCGAGTCAGCAGAACACGCTCCTCCGCCCGCTGACACGGAACATGCACACGTGTTCCCTTGGAAACCTGCGGGGACTCCCGGGGTCTCGGAAGGAAGGCGTGTTTGTGTGGCCGGGACGCTGGGCTGGTCTCTGAGGACACGCCCGGTCGGGGGCTGGCGCGGGGCTCACCGGTGGGCCCTGGCAGCACCTTCCCTCGTGCTCGGAGGGGCCGGGGCAGGAGTGCCCGATGGGCGGGCAGCCAGAGCCGCCTCCCTCTCCAATTCCTAGGAATCAAGTCCCCATACCCCTCCCGCTTTACTTCCTTCTACAAACACGTCTAGCCCACGTATGACAGAGTGATCCTGTGCAGCCATGAGCCAGGCCGGCCTCCCAAGCCGGACATGGCTGGGAGGTATGCCGAGCCTGTGCCGGGCGCGTCCTTACAAACCTCAGACGCTTGGCTGCTGGGCCTGGAGGCCGAGCCTCAGGAAACCGTCCTAACGGCTCTGCTCGGGGCGACCACAGGCCACCACGCGGGGGGGGATGAGGGCAGCCCGGGCCTGGCTCGTCCCGGCGCCGGGAGGGAATTCCTGGCTGGAGCTCCGACCAAAATCCCCGCGGAACTTCCCTCCGTAAACGGGGAGGACTGGTTCGCACGAGCTATTTTCACACGCTCTCCTCTCCTGCCTGCACATGGATGTGTTTCACAGCAGCCCTAAAATATTGTAGGATGCCTGCCTCCGTGGCTCAGGGATTGAGCATCGACCTGTGAACCGGGAGGTCATGGTTCGACTCCTGGTCAGGGGCACAGGCCGGGGCTGTGGGCTCGATCCCCAGTGTGGGGCGTGCAGGAGGCATTTGATTAATGGTTTTCTCTCATCATGATTGTTTCTTCTCTCTCTCTCCTCTCTCTCTCTCTCTCTCCTCTCTCTCCTCTCTCTCTCTCTCTCTCTCTCTCTCTCTCTCTCTCTCTCCCTCTCCCTCTCTCTCTCCCTCCCTCCCTCTCTCTCTCCCTCCCTCCCTCTCTGAAATCAATAAAAACATATTTAAAAACAAGTAAAAAATAAGATCTTGCGGGGTGTGAAAGATCACAGACGGAGCCAGGAGGAGGGCAGAATGAAATGTGAAAAGTAGTGACCAGGAGACGCTGGCCTCACAAGGTCACTGAGAGCAGAGATTCCCGGAACCGTCCGGGCACTTACCATGACGATGCCCCCGGACTGCTCGGCCGTGCACATGCTCATGATGGGCGCCATGCCGATGGTGGTCCCTTGGAAGTACACCCCGCTAGGAGACAAAAGAGAGGACCCTCTGAAACCGACACGGGGGGAGGAGATTCTCTACGATCCATGCTTTTGGGCCTTCGATGGAAAAAACACATATCAAGGTCAAGAGCACTGTGTGTGGCCTGTACCTGGGCCAAGGGTTGGGGGCGCACGTGACAACACGGACAGAGAGGATGTACACAGGCCAGGTGCACACAGTCCCGGCGTGACCCCCCTCCCCTCCCCGGGAGCTGCGTGAGTGCGCGTGGCCGGCGGCTGCACTCCGCTCTCTGTGGCTCCGGTCCAGTGGCACCGAGGGCCCACGACCCGCCAGGCTTTTGTTTCAAAGACTCAGACAGTTGGTTGAGGCTCTTGAACGAGTGGCTGGTGGTCTGCCTACTTCCTCAGGGGGTGGGGCAGGGGGAGGGGACCCCCCCCTCATGAACACGCTGCTGGGGCCGCTGTGAAGCCAGAATCGTGGGGAGCGGAACGGGCACGGGGACGCGAGCTCTGTGTTCTGCTGTCGCTGAGGTTGGCGCGCCTGGGTAACAGGACGGGACGGAAACCCACACCCCCCCTCGGCACTCTGCTGCCAGGGCCCTGGTCGGCAAACTCATCAGTCAGCAAGAGCCAAATACTAACAGCACAACGACTGAAGTTTCTCTGGAGAGCACATTTCTTTTATTTATTTATTTATTTATTTTAAATTTAATTTAATTTAATTTTTAAAAAATATATTTTATTGATTTTTTACAGAGAGGAGGAGAGAGGGATAGAGAGCTAGAAACGTCAGTGAGAGAGAAACATTGACCAGCTGCCTCTTGCACACCCCCTACCGGGGATGTGCCCTCAACCAATGAACATGCACTTGACTGGAATTGAACCTGGGACCTTTCAATCCGCAGACCGACGCTCTACCACTGAGCCAAACCGGTTTCGGCTAATTTTATTTTTTTATTAAATTATTATCTCTGTACATATTTTATCATTGCCCCCCCCATATATACCCACCCTCCCCAGAGTTTTGTGTCCATTGGTTGTACTTATATGCATGTGTACAAGTCTTTCGGTTGATCTCTTATTAAGCCAGTCAATGAAAGAGAAACACCACATGACCTCACTCATTTATGGATAATAAAGAACATTATAAATTGATGAACCAAAATATAGATATAGAGACAGTAAAGCAACAAGCAGACTGTCAAATTACAGCGGGGAGGGGAGAGAGATCTGGGGGAGATAAGAGCCACATTTCTTAAACTTAAACTTCTTCTAACGCCACTTCTTCAACATAGACTCACGAGCCTCAGTTTGCCGAACACGGTGCTAGTGGAACTTTTAAAGTGAAATCGGCAGGAGAAGTGCCGACACTCTGCAGTGAGTGTAGAAGTCAGCACCCATGCGGCCTCAGCACCTGGCAGAAGCTTCTGGAAGGGGACCTCAGGGCTTCCGAGGGCGCTGCTTTCCCTTCCGGGGAATCTTGAGCAGCGAGTCCGATGACCTCAGAGCCTGTTTAAGGCGAGTGCTTTTAGCTCCTGCCTCACACATGAAAAATGAAGCAATGCAACCACGAATCTCGCTTACAGGAAACAAATGAGTTTTCCATGTTATCTTGGCCGTGGACACACATGGGTTTCACAGATATTATTTGAAAAGATAGGTATGTTGTTGGTGGTGGTCGGCTAGACAAGTGGGAGCAAGAATAGACACAACCCAACCTACTAGCATGTATGTATGACCGTGTGTATGTATGTGTCCACCCACCCGCCCCCACTCTCTCATGGACATGAGTAGGGGCTGCGGCTGTAACGCTTCTATCTATCGAGCATTTAACAGAAACAACTGCATGTACATACATGAGGAGGTTATGTAAGAGGCCGATCCAATTCCAGATGTTCGAGTTGGACAGACTCCATTTGGGAAAAGAGTCAGCACAGAACACTTTGATTCCGCGTTTTAGTAGTTCGGGATTAATCAATGCACGAACTATGAGGCAGCTGCACACAGCCAGGGCCGGCAATGAAGCAAACCCCCCGTGGCCATGGCCAAAGCAAATGGACAGGGGCTGCCCAGCCTCGGCCGGTGGCGTTTCTGGATGCGGAGGGATTGGCGGTCCGCTTCCCACAAAGGCTGCCAGTTAGACCCAGAAGGGGAGTGTCTGTCTCTTCACAGTTTTTAACCCAGCGACAGGAGCAGTGCGAGAGGACCAGGATAATGGCATCAAGTGTTCAAGGATTTTAATACACGTTAAACAAAGATGGCAGGCTAATTTGCATATGCAGGTGCCAAGTGGCTGGGGGTGGGGCTGGGCACTTGCATCATCGCCATGGTGATGACACAGGGTTCTGCACCGCCCCAGCCGCTCCGGCCTCTGGGCAGCCTGGGAAGTTGGAAAGGTGGCTCCAGGCTGGAGCAAAGGCAGTGGCAGCAGCCAGGGAAAGGAAGACTCATTTTTGCACGAATTTTTGTGCATCGGGCCTCTAGTATTTTAATAAATTTGCAAAAGGAGAACGTCCAGGTGACGGAAGAAGGAACAAGACATTGGACAGAGGAAGAGTTTTCCCAGGTGTCCAAAGGGAGACTTCACAGCAGACCCCAGATTCCGGCCCGCGTGGTGGAGCAGAGGCCGCGCCTCCCGGGCCCAGGAGGGCCGTCGCCGCCTACCTGACAAGCTGTGCGTTGTCGTGGGACTTCCGCGGCAGCAGCTTCTCCTTCCTCCAGTCCAGGAACTCGTGCAGGCTGGCGAAGGGGTCCTGGCTGACGGGGCACTTGTCGATGTCGTTCCACACCTCCACGCCCACCAGCACCACGCGGATGTTCAGCGGCCTGTAGAACTGGGGGGACAGACACCGCTGGGCATCGGTGAACGGGCCCTCACCACGCAGAGCAGGACAGACCTGCACGCTCTGCACCTCACCGACGGGATGAGAACAGCACCCCCTGCCCCCCGGTTCCCAGGCACCAGTGGGTAAGACACCGCGCAGGGCCCGACGCTCAGGAGCGCGCTCACTGGGTCCACAAGCTCCAGGGAGGAGTCCGGGCCTCCCTGTTTGTGTGGGAGCGCACACACCAAGGCCTGCTGGGAGAGCAGAGTGCGCAGAGACGGGGCCTGGCTGACACGGCTGCGTTGTGGCGAACGCCTGCCAGTCCCTGTCTGCCAGCCTGGCCCGGGGGCCGGTCGCCGCGTTCTGACTCTGCCAGCGACAGCCACTCGTTCACCAGAAGCCACACGTTCTACGGAGGCGTCGCTGAAAAGGACTCCATGTGAACCTCTTGGCAAAGTCTCAGGCGTGGCTGACGCTGTCAGGTTCTGCCACTCATCATCCATCCGGAGGTTCCGAATCACATGGGAAGTCAGAGCTTCCGGAATCCTAAGGCACGCACAGAGCCCTCCTGCGGGAGCTCAGGGGTCGTGGAGAAGCAGCGGCAGGGTCTGGAAGGGCCACCGTGGCTGCTGCTCCAGGAGCCCTTCCCCGTGACGCCGGCGGCCATTCCCACGTGGGCCCCTCCAGCCACACCCACGTGGGCCCCTCCAGCCACATCCCAGAGCAGATCTCACATGTGATGGATGTGCGGCCCAGCCCCTACGCTGATGCCTATGCTGTTGGGCTGTCATGTGTGCTGCGTGCACCTGCAGCCGCCTTACCCGCCCCTCCCCGCCTGCTGACTGCTCCTCTGGGCCTGCCCAGAGCCTCCTCGGAATGAGCGCCAATGAACACGTGAACAGCACCCACTAGGGCCTGGGCACAGGGGCCAGGGTGCACGTGGACGGGACGTGGTCTGGGACCGGGGTGCATTTGAACAGGACGTGGTCAGGGACTGGGGTGCACGTGGACGGGACGTGGTCTGGGACCGGGGTGCATTTGAACAGGACGTGGTCAGGGACTGGGGTGCAGGTGGATGGGACGTGGTCTGGGATCGGGGTGCAGGTGGACAGGACGTGGTCAGGGACTGGGGTGGAGGTGCGCACAGTCGGGACGAGCTGATGAGTTCACCCACTAATCCGGCAGCAGCAGGCGTTGCTCGGCTCCGGCTGTGGGCTAGGCCTGGCAGTGGCACAGAGAGGAAGGACCAGGAGGCCCGTGCCCTTGGCCCTGAATGCTCAGGGTCCGCAGGAGCTCACAGCCTCGATCCCCGTTACCTCCGAGGAGCCGCCCGCCAGGAGAGGGTGCGGGTGTGTGTGTGTGTGTGTGTGTGTGTGTGTGTGTGTGTGGTTCCGGGGGCGGAGCCCGGGGCAGGAAGGCCGGGGAGGAGCTGCACTGAGGCTGTCTCCGGGGTCCCACCCGGAAGCTGTGACCTCGGGCCCCGCGTGGGGCGGGCGGGGAGACCCACAGGAGAGCGGCCGGAAGACAGGAAGTCCTCGGGGACGAGCCTCCCACGCGGTGGGGGAGGCTCAGCCTTAAAGAATCTGCAGCTGCTGCTGGCTTCCTCGTGAATCAGAAGTGGGGAGAGGGGGAAGGTCACAGAGGCGGGTCCCCAGCCTTCATCTGGCAGCCATTCCTCCCCACCCCCTGAATCCGCCTGAGGAATGTCTCGGGGATTGCCAGCAATGCCGGCAAGCGCTCCATCTGATTGACGGGAATTCCGGAATGTTCCAGAAGGTCACCTTCGGCACTGAATCGCTGTGGGTCTCCAGTCTGAGCGGCCGGCTCCCCTGCAGCGATCATTAACTCGGAGCGGCCACGGAGAGCACGCGCTTGGCAAACGGGGAAGTTACCACCTGGACAGCCGTGCCTCGCTGGGGCCGAGGCGCTGGCAGGAGGCAGCGGGCGGCAGAGTGGAGTCTGGTTTCCCGCTGGTCCAGGGCTCACCCGTAGTTCACACGGGTGCAGAGAGCGTGGGAAGGGGCCTGGGTGCCCCTCCAGCGCCTCCAGGGCTGCAGGGGGCAGCCGCACGCGTGTGCCCGGCAGCTCAGCTCTCTCCCGCCGGAAACGAGCCCTCCAGGCGGGCACAGCCACGAGGGGGGCGGAGCCCTGCCCTGTGCCCAGGGGCGTGATCACCGGAGAGAACGTACCTTGTCCACGTGGTTCGCGATCTCTATCAGCCGCTGCTTCACCTTCTCCAGGTCCTTCCCCTGCCTCTGGAACTGAACCAGCGGCGGCGTCAGCAGCGGCACAGCGAGTGGCCCTCAGAGCGCCTCGCCCCGTCCCGCCCCGGCTCGGGCAGCCTCGGGCTTCCCACGCCTCCAGTGCCCTGTGCCCGGAACCCCATCCTGCGGGGAACTCCGCCCGGAACCCCCGAGGCGCCCGAAGCTGGCCCCGGCCGAGGAGCGCTCCGGGACAGTGACTCCGGCCTCGCCCCGGCTCACCCGGGACGGGCGGTCCCGGTTTGGTAAAGAGGACGGACAGCGAAGGAGAAGGCCATCCCACGCCACGTCTCAGACCGCCAACGTGGCGCCTGGAAAACTGAATCCGCTGGGGTGACCCCGGCTCGCAAAGGCACCCCCGGGTTCACGTCCTCAGAAGGCCCTGCGTGTGCTTTCGAACTCCGGCCGTGAGGCACAGCTGCCGTGGCCACCAGTCCGCTGACCCCCGGGAAGGGATGACGGGTTCCTAATCCCCTCGCCGGCCTCCGGGGGGCGGGTTTCTGAGAAACGGCCTCTGCCCGCGCCGAGCTCCGCGGAAATGGCGCCTCATCCGTCACGCGCAGCGGAGGCAGAAAGGGAGGCAGAGAGGAACTCCCCAATCCCAGTGAAACCGGCTCCGAGGAGCAGCGAGTGAGCCGGGCTGCTCAGAGGGCCGGCCCCGCCCCTCGCTCTGCCACGGACACACCGGCCACACCCCAGACTGTGCCTTCCCCACAGGGCGCAGGGGTCCGTCCCTCCGCCGCCCCCAACCCCCAAGCCCCCCCCCCCCCCCCCGAGAGTTAGCGATGGAGCAGCCGCCCCCGTTTGTGTCCAGCCTTTAGCTTTCCTGTTGTGGTTTCTGACACATTTCTAATCGCTTATGCCTGACACTGTCCGAAAGCCCTTCTCCGTGGCCGTTCACATGCTTCCCAGGGCCCAGAGCCGTGAGGTGACGTAAAGCCGGTAATGCCCTTCGGAACAGCTTCTTTCCTGGGCCGTTCTTTTAAACAGCCTCACCGGCCTCACCGGCCTCACCGGCCTCACCGACCTCACCGGCCTTACCCACCTTATCCGCCCTACTGCCCTCACCGGCCTCACCGGCCTTACTGCCCTCACCGTGCTCACCGACGTCACCGATGTCACTGCCCTCACCGGCCTTACCCACCTTATCCGCCCTACTGCCCTCACCGACCTCACCGGCCTCACCGGCCTCACCGGCCTCACCAGCCTTACCCACTTATCTGCCCTACTGCCCTCACCGGCCTTACCCACCTTATCCGCCCTACTACCCTCTCCGGCCTCACCAACCTCACTGGCCTCACCAACCTCACCGACCTCCTCGCCTCACTGGCCTAACCTGCCTTACCAGCCTTACCGGCCTTACAGACCTCACCGGCTTCATCGGCCTCACCAACCTCACTGAGCCTTACCCACCTCACCAGCCTCACTGACCTCACCCTGCAGTGTGCTCACCTCGCGGTTGTCGGCGACGATCACCAGCTCCACGTACTTGGTCATCGGCGGGGTCTCCCTCTTACGCTGCCAATAGGAAGCACAATTCAATTTCCTGCAAGCCTCCGGGGCACCCCAACAAGCACCCCCCCAGCACTCCCACCAGGGCCCCCCCTCACCCCGGCTCCCACCCGTCCACTCGCCCAGGTCACCTCCATCCCCACGACCCCTGCAGGACCTTCTCAACTCAGGTGACCAGTTTCTTTCACTTTTAAATAGATTTTTATTGATTTCAGAGAGGAAGAGAGAGGGAGGGATCTTTCCAGCTCTGCATCAAGGGGGACCTCTGAGAAGCACTGCGGGGACAGAGGACTTGAAACCGGACCCCACGGACAGACCAGCAGGAGGGGGAGGCCCAGCTGGGCAGACTCGGGGAGCAACACCTCTTAGCCACGCCCCTCGGGCAAACTCGCCCAGGTCCCCCCTGCGGCAAGCAGGCAGGGCTGGGTGCTCTGCAGGCCAAAAACCCCGACTGCAAAGCAGACCGGCACCAGGGACCCCCATATTGCACCCCCGCAACGGGCCAGCCGGGGGCCACGGGCGGGTCCCTCGCTGGCGGGTAGGCTGGCGGTTTCCGTGTCTGCTGGGGCTCTGTCCACGAGACACGCCTGCCTCCAGATAAGCCAGCCGCTCTGTCCCCAACACAGCCCCCCGTGGAAACGCCCCGATGTCCCAGCACCCGGTGTCCCTCGCTGGAGCCCAGGGTCCTCACGCCTCGGCTTCCCTCCCGCCCTTTTTCCTCACCCGCGTCCGGGAGGGCGGGGGGTGCCCGCCGCCTGCCGTGGGGCCCACGGCGCTGGGGCCCGATCCGCACGCCCCCCAGGCGCCCCCCAGGGCCTCGGCCGCCAAGAGCTTGTGTCTGTCTGTGACGCCGTCCATCGGCTCCAGGACGTAGCTTCTATTTGCAAACGTAATAAGCCCCCTGTGGAGAGCGAGAAGAAAAAACATCTGACTGTGAGGGCAGCTTCTTGTTCTTAGCAAGACGGAGGGCGGAGGGAGAGACGCGATGCATTCCATGCCCAGGCTCTCGTCCCAAAGGACATTCTGTGACGTACGTTCCTGTGGATTCATTTTGCACGTCTTTGGGAAAGTGAGTCTGAGAAGTCTTTTGTTTCAAATCATTTTTGGGGGAAGGATAGACTATGTTTAGCCTTTATATACAAATTTAAAATATATATATTATTGATTTCGGAGAGGAAGAGATAGAAACATCAATGATGAGAATCACTGATCAGCTGCCTCCTGCACGCCTCCTACCTGCCACCCAGGCATGGGACCTGACCGGGAATCGAACCGTGGCCTTCTGGTTCATAGGTGGACGCTGAGCCATGCCAGCTGGGCTATGTAAACATTCTTTTTTTTTAAAATATATTTTATTGATTTTGTACAGAGAGGAAGGGAGAGAGATAGTTAGAAACATCGATGAGAGAGAGTCATAGATCAGCTGTCTCTTGCACACCCCCTACTGGGGATGTGCCCGCAACCAAGGTACATGCCCTTGACCGGGAATCGAACCCGGGACCCTTCAGTCCCCAAGCCGACGCTCTATCCACTGAGCCAAACCGGTCCCGGCTATGTAAACATTCTTAAATTAGAACGGGAGGCAGCATGTCTGCACTGAGACAGCCTGGGAGAAAGAGTGCAAAGCAGTAGCACGGCTATTCCGAGCGGAATCGGGGCTCCGGTACCCACAGTCAATCCCATGTTATTCAATGTTCACGCATCTCCCCTGTTCTGTGGAGAGTGATGGGCAGAGGTAGAAACAGACGGTGCCCGGGAAGCTGGCACCCTGACGGGGAGTGGGCGCCAGACGCATGGGAGGATTAGAGTCCAAGGTAGATCCCGCTGGTGTCACCGCACCCACAGCACCTGCCGGCTCAGAGGGGCCGAGGTGGTGGCCGAAGAGTCTGGCTCTTTCCCGCCCCCGCACGTGGATTCAGAAACAACATCGCCGCCGCCTGTGCTCCCCGCCCCCCGGCACCAGCCGCGTCTCCCCGGACCTCCTGCGATCAGATAGGCCTGCCCCTCGGGGGTGGGGGCGAGGGGGGGCACTTGTGTTCCCCTTCCCTGACAAGTTCTTTAGGAAATGAGACTCCCAGTTCACAATGACTAACAGGGGATGTTCGTTATGAAAGTTGATTTTAAAAAGCCCCAGTGAAGCCCTAGCCAGTTTGGCTCAGCGGACAGAGCGTTGGCCTGTTGGCTGAAGGGTCCTGGGTTCAACTCCGTTCAAGTGCACGAACCTCAGCCGCAGGCTCCATCTCAGACCCTGGTAGGGCGTGTGCAGGGGGCTACCGGCCGATGTGAGGACATATCCTCGCGTGAGGACTAAAAAGACAGAGTAAGGGGTCCGGCTGTTTTCCACACCGGGTGCCTTCCTCGCTCTTTCCCCTCCCGCCCGGTGGGACCAGCACACTCGGCAGGGACCCGGGGCCAGCCGGCGATGGGTGACCGTCTGCGGAGTGAAGGGGGCACGGGGGCGCCCCGGGAGCCTGTGGTGGTGTTGAGCGCAGGGTGGGGCTGTCCCTCCGATACGATCAGGCTGCAGCTTGGAAACACGACCTTCTGGAATGTGCCAGGCTGGGAGGGGAAGGGCGGAGGCAGGAAACACGGTGGGAGGCAAAATCCCAGGGGAGGGGGAGGTAGGGTGGTGCTGAGAGAGGGTTAGGAGCCGTGATGGGGGCGGGGCGGGGGCAGGAGGGGGCGTCAGCATCCCAGGGCCAGCCCAGGAGGGAAAGGGGTCCCTCCAGTCGGGTGGCCGATAGCAGACCACTGAGCCTGACTGTGTGTGGTCTGTGTATGCCTGTATGTGCTGTGTGTGTGTTATGCAAGCTGTATGTGCTATGTGTACTGTGCGCTGTGTGTGCTGTGTGCACTGTGTGTGCTGTGTGCTGTATGTGCTGTGTGTTGTATGTGTGCATGCTGTGTGCTGCATGTTGTATGGGCTGGTATGTGCTGGTATGTGCTGCCTGTGCTGCCTGTGCGGTGTGTTGTATGTGTGCTATGGATGTGCTGCGTGTTCTCTGTGTGTGCTGTGTGTTGTACGTGCTGTGTGCTGGTATATGCTGCATGTTGTGTGTGCTGGTATGTGCTGTGTGTTGTGTGTGCAATGTGTGTTGCATGCTATGTGTTGTGTGTGCTGTGTATGTAGATGCTGATTCTCCAAGGCCCTGCATAGGACTCCCAGCTGTGCGGTCCCGGCTGGCATGGGGAGCAGCCCTGCCTGTGCCTGCCTGGCACGCCCTCCCACAGAACCATGCTCGGTGCTGCGGGCCAGGGCAGAGCGGGCCCTGAGGACGCACGCCCAGCCACAAACTCAGTAAATAAACCCGGTGCAAAGGCCGGGTCAGCTGGACACGTGTCAGTGACACTGGTTCTCCGGAGCCACAGGAGCCGCTGGGGGAGCGGGAGCAGGTGGGCGTGTCGGGAGGTAACTGCTTCTTGCTTTGTGCCCAGCCTCGTCTCGACCCCTGCAACCTGCGGGGCCCCCCAACCCCCTGCCCTGATTCCACACGACCGGTCTGGGCTGGCGGCTCCGTACTTCTCATTTTCATCAAGCGAGCAGCTTAAACGCTGCCCGAGGTCATGTCCAATCTGTCCTCACAGGACTGGTCTCCACGGGGACACCGAGACTCAGCGGTTCAGTGCCCGCCCACCTGCCAGGCGGGGTCAGCGGGACGGAGGCGTCGAGGGAGGAACTGCGGGGCTGGTGGGCGAGGTGGGAGAGCCCCCCAGGTGGGCGGGGAGGGGGCGCTGCGAGGCGGGGCCGCTGCCTGACACTCACCGGAGGCCGGCGCAGGCGCTGAGGCTGGCGGTGGAGCCGGGGTGGCCGCGCACGTGCCCGTGGTAGTAACAGTGACCCTGGAAGGAGGAGGGAGGTTCGGTCACACGTCCGCCCCGCGCACCGTCTCCGCCGGTTTTACCCGCGGTGCTGAGTTCCCTTTTGCTGAGACGTCGAACCAAGAGCCTTCGATGCGATGCTGAGCACTCGGGGCCCCGCTGGGACCTGGGACCAGCGCAGAGGAGACTGGGGGGTGACTGCCTTTCCTGGACTTGCCTCGGGATGATGTGAGCGCACAGATGACTGACTGCGCGGGCTCCCGCAGGCCGTGGTCAGAGAGACACCCCAGCCCGGGCCTCCCCTCGGGTGCGGCCAGCGGGGGACAGAGCCCACGGGCGCACCCTGCCAGGCCATGGGGAGGTGACAGGCGGCGATCGGTCCCCAGATGCAAACCCGCCCCCGCCGGCTCGTCCACCAGCTCCCACGGATTGTGGAGAGATTTAAAAAAAGAAAAAGAAAAAAGACTGCAGCCCAAAGGGCTTTATTTGATCCATAATTTAAATGTGAAAACGTCCACTGTGTGCTGACTTGCGGGCAAGGCGATGAGTCAGCACATTCCTTCCCGTTTTCCGCTGACTCAGGGAAAACGGAACTCCCAGGCTGCCTGCTGTCCTCCTGGCGGAAGGCAGCCCGAGGCCGGGCTCTGGCGGCGTCTGCGGGAGGGGCCGCGGCCCAAGGGAGAGCCGCACGTGGCTCTCGAGCCACAGTTTGCCCACCGCGGTGCTGGAGGAACGAGGGTGCTCTCCTGGGTGGCACCAGCTCCTCTCGGGCCTCAGGAGGCCCCGGGGTGAGCTCCTCAGGATGACAGCTGTCCGTGCCAGCACCGGTGCCAGAGCGCGGCGTCTGGGCGGCACACGCAGGACTTACCGTGTGATTGCGCGCGAGGGACACCTCCGTGCCGTCCGGCAGGTAGTGGGTCTCCGTGAACCCGCGGGCAAGGAGGCCTCTGGGGAGACAGGAAGGGCTGAGTGAGTGCCTGCGTGCAGACAGCCGGGGTCTGGCCCCACCCCCGCTTGTCTCACAGGGGACCCCGTTTTCCTGAGGCCCCCAACGCTCCTCCCCATGTGCGGGTTGTCCAGGGAGCGGCAGGCAGGAGAGGCGCACCTGCCAGATTCAGACTCCCTCTGAGGGCAATGCCAGCGGCCGGGACCGGATGTGTGGAGCCGGCCATACCTCCGTAAGCACAGCAGCACATCTCACCCGCGCTGGTCTCCTGTCCTTCTCCATTCTCTAACGTTCTCCAAATCATCAAAACAACGTCCCCTCCCACCCATCCCCGGAATGAAAAACACACATGTTCCCTTTCCCCAGCTCCTTCTCATTTAGTCTCACAAACTGTAATCATTAAAACTGCGGATTCAGAGTTTTGGAGGCTGCAGGGGACCAGGGTGTTTCCTGCAAAACCATTGCGTAATGTGCTGCTTCCGTTGTAAGTCACAGAGGCAGGACTGTGGATCGATCCCTGTGGCGTTCACACAGGAGTGAGTGACTCCCCTTGTCCGGGGCGACTCGGATGACCCCGCCCGTTCACGAAGGAACAGATCACAGTCTTGGGCTCCGTGGCATCCTGTGACAAGGCAGCAGGGCTGCTGGTCAACTGCACTGTCCCGCCGAAGCACGGGAGCAGGTGGGAAGTGAGGGCTCTGACCCTATGGGGGCGGATGCTTCGGGCTGCTTTCTCCTTTTTTTAATGATTGTCTGTATCTTCCGCCCTCAGGGACGGCCTGGGACCCCGCAGCGGCTCCGCCATCAGCTTGTGAAGGACTGTAGCGATCAAGAACGAGAAAAATACATCCCAGGCGCCTACAGACAACATGGGGCTAACTGATGTCACGCATGACAGAACGTGACTCTGGGTCACGGAAAACACCTTTCTGAGCAGCACAGCCTCCGCACTGTGACACCGGCTGCAAACCCCGGCAGGAGGGGTTGGTGGGTTTGCAGGATGAAAGCTCTAGGCCCGTGGTCGGCTAAGGGCGGCTCTTGGGCCCCTTGAGTGTGGCTCTTCCACAAAACACCACGGCCTGGGCGAGTCCATGTTGAAGAAGTGGCGTTAGAAGAAGTTTAAGTTTAAGAAATGTGGCTCTCCAAAGAGATGTCGATCGTTGTGCTGGTGGTATTTGGCTCTGCGGTCTCATGAGTTTGCCGACCGCTGGGCTAGTCCGCTCCCCTCAGGAACTCTCGAGAGCTCATGTGCTGCCTCCCTCCCGGGTGCGCATTCTAGCAAAGCCTGGCCGCGGACAAGAACCCGCTCCCAGCGCTCCTTCTCTGCGTGGCCTCGCTGCTCCGCGGCCGGGCCCCTGGCGCCCGCCCCACGCCCCCGGCCCAGAACGCCCCTCTCTGCTCGGGACGATCTTTGGCCAGAAAAAGGCAAACATGGATCCAACCTTCCTGGCTCCCCGGCCACGGATCCGTTTCTCACATGACAACACCGTGGTTTCTTTAAACAAACAAAACAAAACAAACAGAGGGAAAGAGAAGAACACTTCCTAGAGAGAGCCCGGCAGCCAGGACTCAGATGGGATTACGGTTTCCTTTCACTCGGCGATCTCGCCGCGAGGCTGGGAACCGGATGACGTGATGGGCCTCGAACCCGGGCTCTGGGCACGCGCTCCAGAGGAGTTTCTTCATTAGGACCCGAAGCCCTCCATGTGTCTGGGGGGCGGGAAGAGGAGGAGCAGGCTGTGCTGGGAGGAGGAAGGCACAGCTTCATGATTTAAGCTGTGATTCCCCGTGCTCTGCCCGGTGATCTCTCCAGTGGCTCATGGAGAAATACCCTCCTCGCCTCCGCGGGTTGGACCATCAGCGCTTATCGGAGGTTCTGGAGCGACGACGCGGCCGCCCCTGAGAGGACCGGGATGCGGGTGAAATGGGAGGGTGGATACGATGTCCGTTAACGCTCTTTCCTCCGCCCCAGGGCGGGCACGGCCAATGAAACGCTCACATTTCACATCTCGGGGGTCACCGCACGGTGTGGGCCAGGCCTGGGGACCGTCATTCATCTGACCGGTGTGACCTGATGAGTGACGCTGAGGGGGCCGTGGAGGGAAAAGTGTGGCAAGAATGTCTTTTTATTTATTTATTTATTTATTTTTTAAAAAAATATATATATTTTATTGATTTCAAAGAGGAAGGGGGAGGGAGAAAGAGAGAAACATCAATAATGAGAGAGAATCACGGATCGGCTGCCGCCTGCAGCCCCACACTGAGTTCTGAGCCCGCCACCCAGGCCTGTGTCCTGACCGGGAATCAAACCGTGACCTCCTGGTTCCTAGGTCGGCGACACTCAGTCCCTGAGCCAGGCCAGTGGGCAATGATGTCTTTAAAGCGAACTGACCTTGGAGATGGGTGTCCAGGCAGGTCTCGGCCTCGGCACCGCTGACCTTGGCACCAGTGGCTCTCTCTGGGGGTGGGGCCGGGCTGAGGGGAGGAGCTGTGTGAGGCAGGCTGTTGGGCAGCATCGGCCTCGCCATGCCGGTGACACCCCAAACCTCTGGGGGCCGAGCTGCCCCTCAGAGAACCTCTGTGCCGGGAGGGTTACTGCACGGTCCCTCCCTGAGGGTATGGAGGAGGGTCAGGACAAAGAGCTTCGAAGGCGACGGGGACAAAGGTGCCGGCATGACACAGCGGAGTCCAGCTCCTGACTGTGGGAGAACATTCCTGAGAAACATGGCCGCAGTCTGGGGTGCGGGAGTCTCTGCCGTGGTCCTGGGCCTCAGCCCTGAACACATGGGTGCGGACACCTGGGCCTCAGCCCCGAACACACGGGTGCAGACATGTGGGCCTCAGCCGGGATCACACAGTGCGGACACCTGGGCCTCAGAACACACGGTGCGGACACCTGGGCCTCAGAACACATGGGTGCAGACACGTGGGCCTCAGCTGGGATCACACGGTGCGAACACCTGGGCCTCAGAACACACGGTGGGGACACCTGGGCCTCCGAACACATGGTGTGGACACCTGGGCCTCAGAACACACGGTGCGAACACCTGGGCCTCAGAACACATGGTGCTGACACCTGGGCCTCAGAACACACGGGTGCAGACACGTGGACCTCAGCTGGGATCACACGGTGCAGACACCTGGGCCTCAGAACACACGGTGCGGACACCTGGGCCTCCGAACACACGGTGCGGACACCTGGGCTGGGGAGGCAGCATCTCAGGAGCCCGGGCCCCAGAAGGCGCAGTCAGCATGGGAGCATCCGACTCTCGCTACATTTTCATGAGCACAGCCCTGTTCCTTTAAGAAAACGTCCCTGACCTTGGGGCGGCCTGACGCTTCCTTGGACCCTGAGGTCACTCATCCGCACCCCGGATGCTCCCGGGTTGGTGCTGGGTCGCCTCAGGCGGCCCCTCTGGGTGCCTGGAGTCGTCTGGCCCGTGGTTGATGTTAACACCACCACCTGTCAAGGCTGATCTCCACCACAGATTTCACCAGCGTGAGCCAATCTGGGAGGAAATTTGCACAAAAAGCAAGGGCTGTGCCTGGCTGGTGTGACTCAGTGGTTCACCGTCGACCCATGAACCAGGAGGTCAGGGTTCGAGTCCCGGTTGGTCAGGGCACAGGCCCGGGGGGTGGGCTCTGTCCCCAGGGTGGGTGGGCGGGAGGCAGCCGATCCATGATTTCCTCTCATCATGGACGTCTCTCTCTCTCTCTCTCCCCCTCCCTTCCTATCTGACATCAGTAAACACATTTTTAAACAAAGAACGAGGAAAAGAGACAGCCACACAGACCGGCTCATCGCTTCCCGGGAGCCACAGCCAGAGCCAACGGGCGGCGGACGGGGGGGCGGTGTCCCCACATCGAGAGGACACCGCTGACACCGGACACATCCCGGGCATGAGGCCGCTCCTGCCCGGCCTGGCCCGCCCGCCCGCCCGTGGGGCCGCGCTGTAAGCTCTTCTTGTTTCATCGCAACAATAACAATGACTCAGAGAAACCCAAACCAAACCAGCACCCGCTGGAACACCGCGAGGAGAGTCCTCGCTCGGCTTTTACTCCAAACACATGTGCCCGGGGTGGCCGTGGCGCTGCCAGGAGCGCGGCGACGGGCCTGCTCGCCTTTGGCCGTGGGCGCTGTGCCTCAGCTCGGAGACGCCTGCGAGGGCCCGGGTGCCTGCTCTCCCATCAACACAGCCGGCTCCGCGCTGAGCCTCAACCCCTGAGCCCGGGGCTCCCGGCTCATTCCCGGCCACAGGCCCGGGCTGTGGGCTCCATCCTGGGGGGCGGGGGGGGCGTGCAGGAGGCAGCAGGTCCGTGACTCTCTCTCACCCTGGATGTTTCTCTTCCTTCCTCTCTGACATCAATAAAAACATTAAAAAGCAAACAAAAGAAAACACCCCCTGAGGAACAGCACAAGGGGTGCGAGGCTGTTCCCCCGCTGGGAGCGTGATGCTGCCTCGGGACCTGGGACTTGGGGTGCCGGGAGGAGGGTGCCCTGCCTGCGGGCTTGTGGGAGGAGGAGAACTGGCAGACTTTGGAGAAGCAGCCGGGCTCAGGCTGCCCGCAGAGGGGGCCGCGGGGGGAGCCCCTCGCTGTCCGCCCCAGGGCGGGTGGGTGTTCTGGTGCCTTCCTTTGGCAAAGGGACCTGGGAGCTCTCCCCCGAGCGGGGCCGTGGAAGCCGCGCTCCCGGTGTGAGCTCAGCGGAAAGACATGACTGTCCTCGCCCTCACCCCTCACCGCGGACAGCTTCTCCAGGGAGTCTGCTCCCGGGGCCGCGGGGCCCGGGGTCAGGGGCCGGGGCGGCTCCTGAAATAAAGCAGACCCTCAGTGAGGTCATCGCGCAGCCCCGCTGCAGAGCGGCCGGCAAGGCCAGGCACATTCCTGGCCTCGGGCTGGGAGCGGCTGAATGGATGTGCGGCCAGGGCCTCGCAGGCCCTCATCCCCCCACCCCAGGGGTCCTCAAACTTTTTAAAGTGGGGGCCAGATCACGGTCCCTCA